TTCTCCCTAACCCCTCCCCACACTGCTTATCCCTACCCCCACCTTCTTCCCCCATTCCTACACCCCCATCCTTCCCTAACCCACTGCCCATCTCCCTGCCTCCAGGCTCTTGAGTTTCAGAGCTAGGAAGCTGCACAGCCAACTGCAGTCATTGGTGCCAGAACACATCATGTGTAGGAGCCATGTGACGATAAGTAAGAATTAGCTTAACATTATCAATCCTTTAAAATCTTGAGTCAGCATACAGCAGTTACACACAACCTTCTAACTCACTGCTATGGCTAGTACAGCGGAGAAAATTGGTAAGCGTCTTTTGATGGAAAACATGGCTTACCATAAAAGCCTTTAATATAAAAAATGTCTGAAATGATCACTGTAAAATATAAGTTTTGCAAAGATGTGTAACAGTTGTGATACTGGAAGAGAAATATTGGATTAAATACATCAGAGTGAACATTGTAATTAAGTAGCAATAATGAAACTTTTCTGAAAACAGGTTTTTTCCTCCCCTTTTAGTTGACGCTGATGAGATTAAACGGCTAGGAAAGAGATTTAAGAAGCTTGATTTAGACAACTCTGGTTCTTTGAGTGTGGAAGAGTTCATGTCTTTGCCTGAGTTACAACAGAACCCGTTAGTGCAGCGAGTAATAGATATATTTGACACAGATGGGAATGGAGAAGTGGACTTCAAAGGTAAGATATGGTGTTCTATAGTACATGATGTTGGCATTTTCTTAGAAGATCTGTCTCTTAGAAACTGTTAACTTTTGCTCTAATGTAAAAATATTTTTAAAGAACAAAATAAGATGTGAACACAGATTTAAGGGTGAAACATGCTTATAAAGATACTTTTATGTATTTGAAATAGATACCAACAATTCCTGTGAAAGCATATACAAAATATATTTATATTTATTCCTTGAGGCATAATCCGATTTAACACAGTTTGTGTTGGTTTTAACTGTTTAATAATCTTTCTTGCTGTTCATATTCTAAACTTTGCTTTCATTCTTGATGCCCATTTTAGAGTATATTAGTGTAAAAATGTTCATCATGGCTTCCTAAAAACAATGTTCCTCATTAACCTGAAAAAAATATAATTGGTGGAAGAGAATTGCAAATGTGTGGGTTCACTTTCTCTTGTCTTTTAAGAGACATGTGGAACTAGCTATAGCGATCTTGGAACAATTAGCAAGAGACACGGAAAATGCATAAGGTCTCAGAGGATTGAAGAAGGGTACATAGAGCACCTGTATATAAAATGGGGAACTGTGAGGACCTGAGCATTTCCATACCATTTGTCCTTACTTCGGTACCTGAAAAGATACCAGAACTGTTTTGACATTTTTGCCAACTAATGGTAGTCAGGATTTTCATTCTAAAAGGTAGCATTTATACTTTTTTCGTGTCTGTATTTTTAGCTACAAAATTCTTATAATTAGGTCAGCATTTTACCTTCCAGGAATCCTGGAATCCAATCCTGGAGTCCTGCTCAGGAATCCAATCCTATGTACCTATGCATGTGCATATTTTGATTCTGTATTATTTATACATGTTAGGAAAGGCTGCAAGATCTGGCTCTGGGAATTACATGGCTTTGAAGTTTATTGTTTAACAGTGCCACTTTGTTAATGTTCACATTTATTTATGATATCCTACTAAAATACTTCTTACATGTCCATTTTAAAAAAAATACGGTCACATTAACATCCATAATGAATTTTAGGGCTTGATTTGATGTGAACAGAACACAACACAATTCCAATTGAAGTCAATATAGTAGGAGTATCAAGTCCTTATTTATATACATTGGACTTTCCAGGGAATACAAGCTTTTGATTATAGTAAGTAAATATTGATATGTATTAGTGCAGTGAGCATGATGCTTGGTTTGAGATGCTTCCTTCTGATGGAAGCTAGAAATCCCTATAGAACTATGTGGAAACAATGAGGTAAGCTGTGCTCTAAGGACATGTCCCAATAATGTAACTTTAAAAAGCCCTTCCTTTAAAAAAAAAAAAAAATTCTGAAGATTCTGGTTTCTCTTTGCAATAAACAGGGATTTCAAATATGTATACATGACTGATTTTTAAATACTTTTCCCACCCTATATTCTTCAGAATTTATAGAAGGAGTCTCCCAGTTCAGTGTCAAAGGGGATAAGGAACAGAAGCTGAGGTGTAAGTACTTTTGATTTTTCTGACAGCTTTTCTGTTATCTTTCAAATGTAGTTTGCTTTTAACACCACATTGGGAAGTCACCTTTTCCTCCTGGGGTGCCTGTTTTCTGGAAGAAGGCAACATCAGGCAGGATAGGTGGATACTATCTTGTAGGGAGTCGTCATTGCCCCTTCACAAAAATGCCTCTACGGCATTGTTGTATTCCCTACTGCATGAGTGAAACAAAGTCCATATCCTCTTTAGGGTAAAGGAATTATGTGCAATGTACATAGTTTTGCTTTTGACAATATGGAAATCAAATTAAATTTTTGCTTTTACAATAAAACAAAGAATATTAAATTGTTCCTGCAAAATTTTAATAGCGTATCTTTCAGAAGCTTAATGTGATCAAACCTTTGCTTTTCTTTACTGCAGTAACCAAGATATACAGTATGGATCGTAGAATTATAGAATACTAGAACTGGAAGGGACCTCGAGAGGTCATCGAGTCCAGTCCCCTGCCCCTATGGCAGGATGAAGTACTGTCTAGATCAGCCGAGATAGACATTTATTTAACCTACTCTTAAATATCTCCAGAGATGGGGATTCCACAACCTCCCTGGGCAGTTTATTCCAGTGTTTGACTACCCTGACAGTTAGGAACTTTTTCCTAATGTCCAACCTAAACCTCCCTTGCTGCAATTTAAGCCCATTGCTTCTTGTTCAATCCTCAGAGGCCAAGATGAACAAGTTTTCTCCCTCCTCCTTATGACACCCTTTTGGATACCTGAAAACGGCTATCCTGTCCCCCCTCAGTCTTCTCTTTTCTAAACTAAAGAAACCCAATTATTTCAGCCTTCCTTCTTTGGATGTAGAAAGGAAAGTTGTTACATTAAATATCTTAAAATGCACTCTCCTACCCCAGATCTAAACCACGTCTAAACTGCTTGCTGTAAACTGATCAATTGGCATCTTGATTAGTCATGCCACAGAAGGCCGTTATATTGTTTGAGTGGCCCATCTTATGATGCACTCCTTTCTGATTTTTTTTGTTGCTTGCTAATGTTATCAGTGTGAATGGAATACTTTTGGACTGAGGGCTTATCTACACCTCAAACATTAGTGGTACAGCTATGCTGTGGTAGTTGTGACCATGGCAGAGTTCTATTGATCTAGCGCTGTCTGTATGGGGACTTAAGTTATCTTAGCCACATAACTAAAAAGAGTGACTTTTTCACATCCTGAACCCCCAAAGTGAAACTAATCTAATTTTTAAAATAGACTATTCCTGGTTGTTACAAATCTAAAGGGTTAAATTGTTCACTGTACTGTTTAATACAGTGGGAGCCTGGTCTTCCAGGATTTATAAATTCATGTTTTATACTGATTTTAACTCTACAGAAAACAATGCAAAACTTTTTTTCTCAGTTGTGCATATAAAATACGTAGTTATGTTTGTGCCTTCAATATAATGGAAATTGTTGTTGGCAGGTCATATTTATTATTGAATTTTCCTTTAACTCATTTTCTATAGTTGCTTTCCGGATTTATGATATGGACAAAGATGGCTATATCTCCAATGGGGAGCTCTTCCAAGTGCTGAAGATGATGGTTGGGAACAATCTCAAAGACACTCAGTTACAGCAAATTGTAGACAAAACCATAATTAATGCAGATAAGGATGGTGATGGAAGAATATCCTTTGATGAATT